AAAAGTATAGAATCGAAAGGATCTGAATAGCTCAGTTGGAAGAGCAGTCGCCCGGCAAGCGAAAGGTCTCGGGTTCGCTTCCCGATTCTGCGACTTTCGGATCTATATTTTTCTCTCGCACTTTATTTCTTTAGGGGGAATAGGGGATACATGGAATTAAAAATCTCTTGTAGAGATTATTCCAATTTTATATCTTGGCCGTGTCCAAGTAAAAATTTGGTGCCTTGTGCACAGGTATTTAATTCTAACGAAAAAATTTAGTTTCGTTTAGAATAACGCACTGTCATCCGCGATTTGGCTCTTATTGCCTATCTTATATATGTTAAATTTATATTTATATATTACAGAGCCTAGTTAAACTCTTAATTTAAAAAGTATATTGTTTTACAGCACATGAGCAAAAAAAGATAATAAAGAAAGCATAGATATATATATGCATATATCGAATTAGTTATGCTACATATTTTCCTTAAATCGCTCAAGTATATTTTTTTCTAATTATTTATTATTATTTTAAATTCTAATTATTTATTAATATTTTAACTTCATCCATTCTTCTATTAAACTAAAAAAATCATTCAATTATAAACATTGCACTGTACTTGTATATTGCAACATTATATATGTTGCTGCAATAATATAATCATATTAACACATAATGAATGGTTCGCATAAAAAAACATATGTGTGACCGGTTTTTTATTAATAAAAAATCTTAATTTTTTAAAGAATGTTCTAGAAACACTTAAGAATATCTGTCAGAAGGGATTTTATGGTATAGTTCTCTCACTTCGAGAATACAATTTTTTCTCTCAATGTAATTATAATATCGTTAATCTTATATCTGACTTCGCGATGTAAAAAAGAAAAGTCACATTTTCGGTTCGGTTGAAAAATTCTACTAAAAAATTGAATAAGGGTTGTTAATTTCATGTTCTTATAACGGTATGGGGAAAAATTAAAACAATACTATAATTAAAGAGTAAAAAATGGTCAAAGAGCACGATCTTGGTGTAAAGTTGTAATAAAACAATACAAGCAATCAGTTGTTAGACGTTTCGGTTATTATTTAATCATTTTCAGTGACAAACTAAAATACAATAATTGATATTAACATATATAATCGGATAAATAAGAATAATTAAAAAATATTAATAAATATTCTTTTTATTAGTAAAAAAAATATCTGCCAAATTTCATTTTTTTAACTTGTCCACAATTTGAGAAAAAAAAATCAAAAATGTAATTTTTATTTCAAGGAAAGATATAGGAAAAATGTGTTTATATGAAAAACACCTCTCAATTTTTATTAAAAAATTGAATAAGGGTTGTTAATTTCATCTTCTTTTAACGATATGAAAAGATTTAAAAAATATTATGAAAAGTATCCTTTTTACTAGTTATTTTTTTATTTTTTATTTATACTTTCATTTTTGCTAACTTAACTAACAATCTCTATTCAATTTATTTTTTTTATGGATCAGAATGTGATCATTTAAAAATATGCGTTAGAGAATTTGATTCCATTGGAAACTTTTATATTTCTTTTATTTTTCGTAAAATCAATTATTTTTAAGAAAAAAAAATAAAAATCTAATTTTTACTTCCCTCTTTGGAGGAATGTAACTTCTCAAGGAGAGACTAGAAATACATGTTTAAAACTTCTTAATTTTTGACAAAGAATTATATCCTAAAATTTGTCACATTTATTTAAAAATATTGAAATTATTTAGAATAATTTATAAAATATTTTTAATACTTTATTTTACCTTACTTAAAATTTAATTTTCTAAAAATTCATAAAATATTTATAAAAAAAATACAATTTTATATAATTTTATAGAATATATTTTTCTCTAAAATAAAATCAGATATAAAACAATCTACTTTATAAATTAGAAATATAAATAAAAATCTTTCAAATATAACAAACGTAATACAGTACGAAAAAAAATTATTTTCAAATAAGATGTGTTTATTTATATATTTTGTATAGAAAATACGTTTAAAAATCGAAAGGACGTCTTCCAGAATTTTGTATCGTCTAGAAAGAAATTGACCACTCTTTCTCGTTCCGAGATATTCGTCACGTTTTTCTGTTTTATACAGCCCTTCAAGCCGGAATTCTCGGATCTCGATTATGCGGACGTGGACTACAAATCTTACGGACCGATAAATTATAAAGCCGCCAGTATCGCGATCCTCCAAAAGCAAAAGCAGCAACGGCAACAGCAACAATTGCAACAACAGCAACGACTTTTGAGCAGGAGGCCGCAAATGTTGCAATTGACATTTTGACATATGCATAGACGACTTATGACCTAATCTTCACATGCGATTGGAAGAAAAATGGCGGACGAGAATATTCACTTTTATAGAGCCTTAGAGAAACCAATCGTAAGTTGCATGTGTATTATTTATTATATATATTCACTCGACGATACGCTATAATGAAATTACATAGATTGTAATTTGGGATTCGATCGCCTACACGATTTCGATTGATGATTATTTGTATTTCGTTTGTAGCAAACACTTTTTAGATTTAGACGGAACGAGACTCACGCTTTTATGTGATACACCTTATCATATATTTTTATTCGTTTTAGCATCTCTTTGGATTTTATTTCTCTTTTTATCGTCTTTTACGCGCTCGTATTTTGCAATTCAATCGTGTCGCCTCCGAAATTCGCCATTCATTGATATATGTATATAACGGGTGTCGCAAATTTCTCTTGAAGAGTTTCGCAGCATTTTCTTTCATTTGCGAATTTACTTTGACCAATTTCAAGTCAATTTTATATCAGAGAAATTCGATTTAACGCCATCTCCTTTTTTATATCTTCTCGACATATTTAAATTTTGCAAGATTTTTCAGATTAGAATTTTGCCGATTAAAAATGCAATTTAGATAAAATTAAGCGATTTTAGCACTCTAAAATTCAAATGTTTACTATCAAAATTTGTATAATATGCAAATTATGGAAAAGGTGGGTATCCATCAAAATTTTGTTTGCGAAAAAATTAACTTCAAAACCAAAGAATTTGTAAAAAAATTGCTTAAAAAAGTATATATATATATATATATATATAATAAATAATACGCAAACACGTAATGTGATAAATTTGCTATATGTCATGAATTTCTACACTTATTAAAAATGAAAATACACGATTGGATAGCTTTTTCGGAGAATTGTTAATAAGATCAATCATTTCTTCTTTTAAATAAGAATGTGGAAATTTGTTTACCATCCTACTGTTCCACGTGCATATACATATTTTTCAATATTTTATTGCTTTTTAAAGCTCTTACAATAAAAATGTTAAATTTAATTAAAGTTTAATTGCAGTTTGAGATGTGTATTGAGCGTTAGAGTATGTGTATAGATTCAACGGAACATTTATGAAGTTCCCGATGATCATTTTCCTAAATTCCACAATAATAGTGATCGATCATTTGTAACATATTTACACAGAGATCCCCGAAGACAAATGAGAAATAACACTGTTCGACAAGAAAAACACTGGAATGATACTAGTCACTTTACATCATTTTTTTGACATGTTGAATACGATTCCGATAAGCGATAATTGCTCCATTACACGTCATCATTTTGAGAAATTTGCAGTTGAGGTTACACAATTTTTATATATTTTCTTACAATATGTGACGGTTTGAAAAAATTTTATTGTAATAAAAAAAAAATATTCGTCAATTATAATTAATAAAATATTTATAGTTAAATATAAAGTATATTTTAGAAAAATTGCGAAATAAATTATTGAAAATATACCAAATATATAGTTTTAATATTTGTTCACTTGACAGTTATGCCGCTAAATTTGTTGTAAATGTTAAAATTAACAAACTTAAAATAGTTAGTAGGAATTAATATTGATACGCAGCTAAAAATTAAAAAATGTTCGCATGTTTGCGAAAATTATATATATGTACATGTAAAAAATGGAGACATTTTGCAAATTTTATATACTTTTCTACAAATGTCTCAAAATTGTGACGTATGGGACAATTTGAAAACTGCGAAATTGATTTAAAAAAAAATTAATGACTAGTCTTGTTCGAAAAAAAATTTTGTTAAACTGTGTAATTAAAAATGTGTGCGAAGTGTGAAAAGTATAAATAACAATAAAAGTTCTTCGAAAAAACATGTATTAGACATACGTGAAGTACCCAGTTATATACACAGGAAGCAAGAAGCACGAATTACATATTTTTTTACATTGAAAGTATACGTATGACAATTTTTTTCGGATTTCAGCCATTTCTTTTTGATACGCATCGTTGTATGCAGAGAGAATACTAAAATAACAGTGCATTTACAAGATTTGGAAATATTAATAAAGCAAAGGACAACATATTGGAGATGTTCAATTTTGTAAGAAAAGTCTAGATTTATGTAATATTAAGAAGATTACATTTGCGTCGCCTTTATTGTTAACGTGTAACATCCAATAAAATTTTGTTGTATACAATGCATTACATTTACTTCTCAATATCCCATGAGAGATTAACAAAGTTATTCAGAAATGAGAAATTTTAATAATTTTTTTCTAAATAATTATAATATTAATATTAGAGTCTAATAGCATAATATAATAAATGTATATAAATATATAAATATATAAATATATATAAATATATATATATATATATATATATATATAAATATATAATAAATATAATAATAATATACATATATGTATAATAATAATAATATATAAAATTATTAATATACATATAATGTATATATATATATATATATATATAATAAATATATGTAATAAACGAGATGAGAAGAGGGGAAAATGACTAATTCACAAGAGGATATGTTTCGTACAAAACCTATTATTTTGAATGTAGGCAAACGTGACTACCCCTGTATTTCAATTGTCTGTATGTCAATTGAGCGATTATTACTCCATTACCCAACTACTTCATATAAAGCAAATCAAGAGATAGAGTCAAGCGCCAAGTCACGTGCAAGCAACAGCGAGCCACACTACGAGCCCAGTTGTTCCTCATATTTCGGATTCTCAATAACGATCGTTCGAATTCTTCATAGGTTTAAAAAATAGTTTGAGTCTTAATTATGTAAGGAAAGTGTCTTTATTTTTTGTTTTACATGGTCTATAAGAAATATTACGATGCAAAGTTCTATATGTGAAAATTTATGTTAAGAATTGTCTACGTTGTTCATTATACAATAATTCAGATACAATACATACAATACAAAAAAATGTGGTAGCCTTTTGCTATTTTTTACAGAGGATTCTGGAGACGTATAAAATGTTGATACTAATTTTTGATTTTGACACTTATGCGTTTTGACAATTTGTATATCATCATAATGTGTATAATGAGGATTAACACATTCATCAGAATAGGTATGTGTATATTTTAAATATTAAATTTATAAAATTTATCTTTATTGCTTTCTATCTCACTCGGTCAAAAAAAGACACAGAAAAATAGAAAAAAATTGAAACCTTAAATGTTTGTAACGCAGCTAATAATTACGATATTGAAAGCCAAAAGTCTGTAATTTGAAAGAATTTTAGTGTTCATTACGTGGAATAATCAGTTTTGCAATAGCCGATGATAGAGTGAGAACTTGCTAAACTGATTAATAATAAAAGATCCACTTTCCTAAATTGCATGAAATGAATCAATTAAACTTAATGAGATAATTTTAATATTTATTGTAATAGTTTTTAATAGTTAACTTCTAGTAATTTAAAATTAATTTAATGCAAAATTAACATTTAATGTACAAATTAACTAAAAATATGTTAATTTTCGATTTATCCCACACATCCTCACTTATATTAAAAAATAAAAATGAATATTTTATTTTGTAAATTTTAACAGATAAATCTTGTCACTAATAAAACAGAACATTATTTATTATGTAAAATTAAAAATAGATGCACATTGTGTTATTTTTACATTTTTTTTAGTTGTTTTAATAATTTAATATTTAAATTCAATTAACACAACAGTTATACGTTAAATTAACACATGAATGTGTTAAATATTTAACACAAAAATTTTAATGGGGACTGTTTTTAAGAAAACACAAATTTTTCTACTGTGTACTGTGTACTGTGAATGTATCGCTGATTAAGTAATAACAAAATTAACATTTAGTTCGCTTTAATTAGAAAAGCGGAAAATTTTAAGAGGAAAAAATTTTTTGACAAAAATTCTACCATATATTCACGTATATGCTGTAAACACGAAAAGTACTAGCCTTGATGCAGAATGCATATTTGCGACCAATAATGCCTGTCACAAAACGTTCAAACTTTGAATTTTGATAACAGAATCGTGCACCTTTCTCTGTCTCTCTCTTTCTCTTTTACAATAGATGCATATATCCTGAAACTCACTGAAATTACACGAATATGCGAATCTTATCTTATTGTTAGTGCGGTAGTCATTCAGAATGCTATTGTCATGTAATTTGAAACGGCCATTTTGCTTTCCCGTAGGAAGCATCCGATAGAATCCTAGCTGATCTTCCCGTATATGTATGATTTATGTCAAAATTATACATGCTTTCAATATTCTCAACCGTTCGAGCAGTAACAAGATATTTTATGTCGCGTGTATAAATTGCTCGATTTGTAAAAATTGTTTGCTTTCAAGTTTCAGACATACCAGAGAGAAATGAAGAAGTCTGTCTACGATTTTTGATTTAAAGCTGCGCTGAGACATGGAGGCCAAATCTGATAAAAAATTGTGATAAGACTAAGTACACGGAATTTAGATTGTCGCTTTCTTAAGTCTTCGGGCTAATAAAATCATTCTATTTGAGCATGAATATAGATAAGGTAATCACCGCTCAATGTTATATTGAATTGCTTTTGGTTTCGCTACGGAAATATTACTCTCTCTCTCAGTTACATTTTAGCTCAATTTCGATCAACATCGATTTTATATTTCAATGTCGCTTCCTCGTTCTTTTTTTAATTCGCGAAATGAAAAATTCTGAACTGTAAAATACAATTCCAAATTGTGTTCAAATCACGCTCTAAATTCACTGTTCCAAATCTAATAAGCAAAATTTAAAGTGTAATTAATACAAAATTCTATAACTTGAGCAAATGTCGGAAGTGAATTTTTTGAAATTTTTTTATAAAATAATATTTATATAAATAAAAAATATTTCATAAAAATTTATTAATAAATAATGTAAGATATTTCTCGACTTCCTTTAAATATATTGTAGATTCTAGTACAATTACTGTAACGTAAGTGAGAGAGAAAGTAAAGGTTTCTACGAAACATACTTTGCGAAAGATTTAGGAAAATGGAAGATACAAATCTGAACGAAGTGCTCACTGTAAAAAGTTCGACAAAGATTGCGAAACTAGACGTGCAATCGGACATTAAACCGATAAAATTAAAAGTGTATAAAAGAAGATGGTTGATGCTGGCCATCTATATGTTGTATAACAGTACGATGGCTTCTCAATGGATAGAATACGCGATAATAGCTAACATAGTCTCTAGGTATTATCACACGTTTCTCTTAATATTTAACACAGTAAGAAAATTTGTGCTTTTTTTTTTGTTAAAAATGGTTTCCGCTAAAATTTTTGTGTTAAATATTTAACACATTTATGTGTTAATTTAACATATTGCTGTTATGTTAATTAAACTTAAATGTTAAATTATTAAAACAACTGAAAGAAGATGCAAAAATAAGACAATATGCATCTATTTTTAATTTTACATAATAGATATATTATGTTTTATTAGTGACAAGATTTATCTACTAAAATTTACAGAAAAAAATTTTGATTTTTTATTTTATAATACAAGTAAGAAAAATAAAATCTAAAATTAACATATTTTAAGTTAATTTTTACACATTAAAACTATTAAAACTATGTTAATTTTACTCCAAAAAGGAATCAAACCCGATTCAGCGACTTTTGGATCTATATTTTTCTCTTGCATTCATTTATTTATTTCCGTAGGGGGGTTAAAGGGTTATTGAAATTAAATCTCAAATATGAGATTATTTCATATTTTAAAAATCTTGGCCGTGTCCAAGTAAAATTTGGTGCCTTGTGCACCGATGTATATTTAATTCTAACGAAAAAATTTAGTTTCGTTAGGATAACGCACTGTCATCCGCGATTTGGCTCTTATTGCCTGTCTTATACGTTTATTTTAAATTATTTTAAATTTTGTATTTATTTTGTGTTAAAATATTAACACAGTATTTGTGTCTTTATTTAACATCCATATTATGTTAAATTAACACAAAAATTTCTGTGGACCGTTTGAAACATGTGGTATCTGTTAAAGTTAACACAAATTTTTCAACTGTGAAACAATCATAAAAAATATAAGTGAATTTATGTTTTTCTTGTATTATTCAGATATTACAGAATATCTACGTTAATGGTCGACTGGACGTCGATGTCCTTCATGCTGCTTTACGCGGTGTTCGTTATCCCAGTGCAATATATGTCAGACAGGTACGGAAGTCTGAGATGGACTGCCCTTCTTGGCAGCGGCTTGAGCTGTCTGGGAGCATGGATAAAAACCTTCTCCATTCACCCCGACAGTTACCACATCGTTATCATCGGTCATTCTATCGTCGCATTCACGCAGGTTATTTTCCTAATCTCGTTAAAAAAATTTTATACTTGCACTCTATCTTCTTTTTCTAATCTTTTTCCTATCTTACTATATTTACATTACAGTAAATTTTAATATCTATATGTAAAGTATAGATGTAGTAATTATGTAAGTAAATGTAGTAGTAAATATAGTAATTATAAGTATAGTGACTATACATCTAAAATAAATATAATATCTACAGTAACTATACAAATATAGTTATTAGATGTAATAACTATATAAGTAAATATAATAGTAAATATAGTAACTATAAGTATAGTGATTATATACATATCTAAAATAAATATAATATCTACAGTAACTATACAAATATAGTTATTAGATGTAATAACTATATAAGTAATATAATGGTAAGTATAGTAACTGTATAGTGACTACATAAAATAAATGTAGTAACTATATAAATATATAGTCACTATATAAATAGTTATTAGATAAGGTAAATATAGTGACTGTGTAAATATAGTAAGTATAGTTGCTCTATAAAATAAATATAATAAATATAATAACTATATAAAGTATGTATATACAGGGTGTCCCACAATTTTCGCAAATTACAATACAATCATTACAAGAAAATTCTCGAAAAAATGAATTAAGAAAGTATTTGTCATTTTTCATTTCAAACAGTAGTTTGTGAGATAGAAAGGGTTAAAACTGGTCAATTGTAGATTAAATAACGATTAAATAGACGCTACTGTTGAGAATAAAAATCAGCAAATATCTTTTAATTTATTTTTTCGAAAATTTTCTTTTTACAATATTTTTATTAGCAAAAATTTTGAGATACTGTATATATCTTCCACCACGTTTTCTGTTAATGACAATTACACTGTACTCTATTAGACTCTGATTCTACCAATACCAGGACGCTTGGCCGCTCAATGGTTTCCTTCTAACGAACTTTCGACCGCGACGTGTTTGGGTCTTTTTGGTAACCAAGTGGGAATAGCATTCGGTTTTCTCTTGACGCCTATAATAGTGAAGAATCACGAAAATCTAGATAACGTTGGCAACGATCTGTCACGTTTATGCTGGATTGTTGCTATCGCTACTACGGTTGGATTTATTTTAGTCATCCTATGTAAGTTGAATGCTTCGATATGTACATATATGTATATGTAATATGAAACCTATATGCAAACGACAGGCACGTCTCGTGCATCTAATGTGAATTATTCAATTTTTATGTGTTATAATTAACATAGACCTGAGTCCAATAATATTTTAATTTTTGTACAATTTCTCATGACTATTTTTCTAATTTAATAAACATAAAGAACAAAATTTTGGTTATCTTATATATTTCTTCAATATTAATTTTAATTAATAAAATTTATATTTTTTTTATACAATATTCTACATATTAAATTATAATAATTTAAAGTTAATGTGTATTTTTCATAAAATAATTTTTCATAAATCTAAATTAGAAAGTCATTTATTGTATATCTCGTATATCCAAATGTCTCGTATCTTTTATATATACATATGTAAATATGTATATCCTGCATGTTCCGCATTTTATTAATATGCATCCAATGTATTAAAGAAATTTTTAACATATTAGTGGAATGAAAAATTCGATAATATCGACATCTCATCTTTTTTCTAGTATAATAATATTTTTCAATTTTCAATGCGGTCAATCCCAGTTTTCATTTGGTTCGTTTTTTATTTACATATGCCAACCACGAGAACATATATACGGAATTAATTAAACTACAGTCGCGCATTAGGAAAGATAACGTATTGTTTTTAATTCTCTCAAAGTGCTTTCGTGCATCAGTATTTCAGGACGAGCCAAAACTGCCACCAAGCGAGACGCGAGCCCTGCAAAAATTGAACCGAACAAAAAAAGGAGAGCCTTTCGTCGCGCCGATTAAAAGACTTTCCAAGAACAAAAATTACGTCCTGCTCTGTAATTCTCATGGCTTGAACGTCGGCGTGCTGAATGTCTTCGCTACATTGCTCAATCAAATATACCTCCTGCACTTTGAGGTAAGCCACTTCAAAATGTTTAACTATGTAACAGATAAAACTTCACAGTTGAAAATTTTGTGTTAAATTTAACAGATATCACATGTCATCCCGAACGGTTCACAAAAATTTTTATATTAATTTAACATAATATGAATATGTTAAATGGAGACGCAAATACTGTTAACATTTTAACACAAAATAAATACAAAATTTTAAATAATTTAAAATAAATTTTGTGTAAAATTAACATAGCTTTAATGTAAAAATTAACTAAAAATATGTTAATTGTTTAGATTTTATCATCCCCACTTATAAAATAAAAAATCAACATTTTTCTTATAAATTTTGTCAATAATAAAACAAAACATATCTATTATGTAAAATTAAAAATAGACGCACATTGTATTATTTGTACATCTTTTTTTCAGTTATTGTTTTAATAATTTGACATTTAAGTTTAATTAACACAACAGCAATATGTTAAATTAACACATAAATGTATTAAATATTTAACCCAAAAATTTTAACGGGGACCATTTTTAACCAAAAAAACAAATTTTCCTACTGTGCTAGAAAGAGAGAATATCGCGAACAAATATTTTTATGCATTAACAACATTTAAAAATATATTCACGTCCATTTCGTTTAAAATCAAAGATACGCATATGTATTTTAGAATGGAGAGGAAGATGCGGGTAGAATTGGATTAGCTATGATTTTCAGCGGGATGATTGGTACCGTTGTTTGCGGTATCGTTCTTGATAAAACACATAAGTTCAAGTAAGAACGACTTTGTTTTAATGCAATTCTAATTTATTCTGGCGGTCGTAAACTGCTCATTGTCAAAAATCATGTCGATATATAGCTATTAACGATTAATAATTTATACTTTTAGAGAGAGTGCCATTGCTGCATATTTTCTCACATTGTGCGGCCAAGCACTATTTGCCGTATTTATTTGTCTCGGCATAAATTGGATGGTATATGTGTCATCCTTTATTTTAGGGTAATATATCAATACATTTATATATATATGTATTGTATATACATATAATGAAATATTATATGTATTATAATAATACAGAGAAAAATATATTATATGTAAAATAAATTATACGAAAAAATAAAATAAAATTTGTCAACGATATATTTTAAGCAATGAGTCATTTAAATTATTATAATTATTATAATTTTTAATCCGTAAAAATATATATATATATATATATATATATATATACAGAGTATCCAATTTTAATCGATCATCTCTAAAAACGTTTTTATTTTTGATTATACACTAACAATATCTGACAATGAGATAAAAGTTGTTTGATTTAAAAAAGGATAGAAGATATGGTGATACTGATTTTTTCCTGAAAGGTGCTTTTCAAGATCATTTGAAGATTATTTATGTTTTTAAATGAAATTATTTTAATTTTTTTATAAAAAAAAGTTTGTAGCATTAAAACATTCTATTGTACAATAAAAAATAAAAGTTTTTAAAAATGATCAATTAAAATTGGACACTCTGTATATATTTTTTACGGATTAAAAATTATAATAATTATAATAATTTAAACGACTCATTGCGCAAGATATATCGTTGACATAAGTTATTCACTTTATTTCTTATTGCAACATAATTATAACATTTATACTGACGAAAATTCACGTATCAAGTAAATTACATCAATTATGTGTGATACAAGAAAATGCATCATTTTATTATTTCGTATAATTTATTTTGAATATATTTTTCTATATTAATTCTACTACTATGTGACTCCTGAGAATAATATGTTACTTTCTTGGTGTTTCATGTTTGATAGATTTTTCATGTGGGGATACCTAGCAATGGGATATGAATTGTGCACCGAATATACGTATCCGGAATCGGAGAATATGTCTGCAGGAATTCTCAATATAACGAATAACATTTACGGCGTAATATTTGTTATAATACTTGGAATAGTATTGCAAGCATACGGAGATATTCCCGTGCACGTTGCCTTTTGCTTGATTCTCCTGCTCGGCTTGATTATAACCATTTTAACGGAAGACGAACAAAGACGACAGGATACAAAAAAGAAGGCTCAGTGTGAAAGAACTGCGAAGCTCGAGGACAACATCGATAACATTCCAGAAACCGATCAACTAACTCATAACATTAATTAATAAATATTTTGTAAATATCGAATTCTTTATTATATTTTATATTTTAGAAAAATATGTATATAATTTTTCAAATAATTGTGATTTTATTGATGAGACATGAAATACATCAATTATGATGAATTTTGATCGATATTTCTCTGCATCTCTGCTCAATATGCATTTGCAATGATAAAAGCGTAAATAATAAATGCATATAGTCGGGTGAAAAAAAAAATATATATATATAATATTGTATATACATATAGTTATCTATTTTATAAATTTTCTTTTAATAATGAAATTAATTTTTGCTAACAAGTAATATGGCGTACTTTAATATTACCTTTATCGTATAAAACGAGATTACTTCTTAAGAAGATTAACTTTATGAGAAAAGCTTTAACACGATCTAGTATCTAAAAAAAGGCAATGGATAAGCTATGAGGGAGGTTTGTGCACATTAAAAATTATTTTTTTCTTAAAGATCGGAAATGCTCGTAAATTGTTCTTAACTTTTGTAATATATTCTGACTTTATCTTGTTATACGCGATAAGAGCTTAATTAATTCTAAATAACAAAACTTAGGGCTACCGGTAAAATAATCGTTCTGTAAATTCTAATTTTTAAACGCTTAGACAACACTCGCGATCCGAGTAATTAATTAACCGAATAGAAGCAAGCATTCTCCAAATTAATTCTTTTCTTAAGCTCTTCTCTTATTTCATTAGTTTGGTTAAAATCGAACCCAAATACTTAAAATTGCTGACCCGCTCAAACATTTTATCTCGAATGATCAAGCTTCCGCAATTATGAATACTCTGGATTCTATCAGTGACCATATATTTAGTTTTTTCAACGCTTACTTGCAACCCAAGTTCTTTCGTTTTATATAATAAAGTTTTAGTGTTATCAATTAATGTTGCTTTATTATCTCCAAGCAAAGCAATATCGTCCGCATATGTTAACAGCTGTGTTATACCGTTTAACCGCAGACCATTTTCACTTTTCTGCATTTCTTTAATAGCATATTCCAATACTAAATTAAACAAAAGAGGTGACAATGCATCCCTCTGCTTTAATCCGCTATGAATGTTAAAAGTTTCCGATATTTGGTTACCTATTTTTACCTCTACCTCTAGAATCTTTTAAACAGATTTGAACCATGCTAACCAATTTTTTAGGAATCCCCAGCCGAATTAAAATTTCAAACATTTTCTCCCGTTTAATCGAATCATACGCTTTTTTGAAATCAATAAAAAATTGATGTACCGGTTGACCAAATTCCCATTTTTTCTCCAAGATTTGCCGAATAGTAAAGATTTGATCTGTAGTCGATCTGTTTCTTCTAAAACCGCATTGATGATCCCCACTTATTTCCTCTACATATGGTACAAGCCTCGTCAATAAAATGTTCGACAAAATTTTATAACAAGTAGGTAACAGTAAGATGCTCCGATAATTATTACAACTCATTTTGTCACCCTTTTTGAAAATCGGAATTATAATTGAATCTTTCCATTGTTCCGGCAATGCTTCTTTATTCCAAATTAAGATAATTAATTTCTGAATTTCCTCTATTAACCTACTTCCTCCCCATTTCATTAATTCCGCCGGAATCAGGTCGATGCCCGGTGCTTTATGATTTTTTAATTTTTTAATCGCGCTTTTTACTTCTGAAATTGTCGGTTCGTTAATCAAAGGTTTCGCCGTGTGAAACTCAAAATTCTCTATTTCCCGGTTGCTTTCAGATTCAACATTCAATAACTGATCAAAATAATTTTTCCAAGTATTTAGCACTCCCGTTGAATTCGTAATTAAATTATCGTTCTCATCTTTTACCATTTCCGTCCTAGCTTGGAATTCCTTTCTAAATTATTTATTCCCATGTAGATACCGCGGACGTTACTGCTTTGACAATTTTCATCTATTTCTTCAATTTTACGTTTTAAGTATTGACGCTTTTTATTTTTAAACATATTATGAGCCGCTTGCCTAATATTAAGAAACTGATTCCGAGTTTCAGCCGTATTTTGAGTCAACCATGCGATACGCGCTTTGTTTCGTACTTTAACAGTTTTTACGCATTCTTCGTCAAACCACGGTTTGTTTTTGTGTCTTTTACAAAAACCAAACGTGGCTTGCGCCGATTTTACGTATTTTGTCCCGTTCTCTTCCCTCGGTAAGACTTTGCACATTTAGACGTTTGGAACCAATTAATTGCCCGTTAGTTTTGTTTAACGAAAGACGTTCTCTGATTTTGGCAATTACCAAATTTATTTATCGCTCGCTTATAAATTCCGATTGCGATTTTCAGAGTAACAACTCGAATCTTGTCATCCGTACCCTTGTGAATTTCAATGATTTTTCCTAATTTCCACTTCAATGGTGGCAAATTATTTTCTTGTATTAAAACAACGTCGTTAATTGCGATGTTGGGCCTTTCTGACTTCCATTTAGTTTTCCTTGCAACAAAGTTAAATATTTTTTGCGCTCCACAATCGCCAGAAATCTTGAGTTAATTTTGGAATTAACTGCCAATAATCCAATCTGTTGATCGGTACGTCGAGTACGTCTAATTCCGGAATAGCTGTTAATGATTCCCCGATGAGAAAGTGACCCGGTGTTAACGGTTGTAAATCTGTGGGAGTTGAGGGCAACTGACATAAAGGCCGTGAATTTAAACATGCCTCGACTTGTATTAACACGGTAGCTAATTCTCCACATGTCAAAAACGTGAAATCTATGACTCGTCTCAAGTGAAATTTACAAGATACCGGACACCCTGTATAAGAGGAAAACAATGTCTCATGTCTCGACTAGCACATTCCAGAAGATACATGTCCAACCATCGTGCAAACTCGTGAAATATAACAACATGGAATAATAATTCTAAACACATTTATTGGAATCAACATATGAAAGATATTCCCGTAAACGCGCGAGGAAAGTTAATTATGTCGTTTTCGTTCCTAATGTGAGAAATGCGCAATGTACCATTAAAAATGTATCGTCGATTATATATATGTACAGATATTACTAATGTATTTACATTCTCGTGTGATATGCGCTTGTCTTTCTCAATTAATAGTTTTAACCTGTTGCTTTTCTTTCAAAGCACCCCACTATTTATCTATTTATTTAATAATTAATATATATTATTTAAAATTTTTTTTAAATTAATAATTTTTTAAATAATATATTATTTAAAAAATAGATATATAAATTGTTTTCCTCAATCAATAGATTTAACGTGTTGACTTTTTCTTTCAATGCACCCCACTATTTTGCTATTTATTGAATAATTTATATATTATTTTAAATTTTATTAATTTAATAATTTTTTAAATGATGTATTATTTTAAAAAAAATATATAAATATATATATAAAATTTAACAATCATATATAGTAGGCCAACTAAACGAGCAAATAAATAAGATGTAAAAATTTTTTTATTAATAGTTAAATCATTAAATTAACATTCCGTTACAGAATCGATATAAATTGTAAACGTTTCGACTGCACTACAGTCTTTATCAATACATAAAAATTAAATATTAAAATATAAAGTTAGATGTTAAAAATACAAAGTTAGTTAAATATTAAAATATAAAATTGAAACGATTCTTCGCTGTTGACCAATAGATATGCAAGGCGATTGGTCTGAGATGCCAAGTTATGCGACATTTGAGCATGCTACGGATATAATACGCGAATTAAATCAATGTCAGAGAAAATTAAAAAATCTTTCAACTTACATTATCGTTTTAACAAGTCCTTTTCCCCGATATTTCAAGTGTGTGTTGCGAAGTCTGAATACCAAATGTCAAAATAGAGAGCGTGATGTATTTATTTATTACCAATGTTTTTTCTAAATTATGATTCAGCAAATTTTTTAAGTATGTCAAAATAACTACTGTCTAACAATTCGGTGTCTGTATTTAAATTAATTCCATTTTTCTGTTCTTTAATGTGGATCATTTCAGATATTAGTCTTTTATGGTAATTCTTTTCATGATCCATAATTTTAATATTGTCCCAGTCAAATGTATGTTGTTCGTTTAGAATGTGTTCCGTGATAACCGAATGTCTAGCAGAGTCTAATTTAATATTATTTTTATGTTCTTTAAGTCTCGTTCCTAACTGTCTTTTTGTCTGTCCGACATATGTGGCGTCACAATCGTTGCAATTCAATTTGTAAATAACGTTAGAATTCGTGGGGCAATTATTTTTGTCCTTTTGAACTTTTATGAAGTCATTCAATTTTTTAATGCAACGATATCCTACCACTACGTCAGGTCTTCTTATTGCTGAAGCAACTTTCTCAGATATTGATTCTATATATGGTATGACAAAATATTTAATGTTAGTATTAGTATTATTAGTATCTGTTATATTGTTATTATTAGGCTTGTTAAATTTCTTAGTTGAGAGATTTTTTAATCTGCGTTTTATTTCTGTGAAAATTAGATCAAGAGGATAACCGTTGGATAGCAAAATGTTAATAGCTTTCTCTATATTTTTTTTGTGAAATTGCGGATGTGATAGTAATAAAGCTCTATCTACCAAGTTATAAATTGTTCCTATTTTATGACAAGTCGGATGATTTGAAAAAAATGAAAGTAATCTACCTGAGAATGTCTTTTTGTGATACCAATCTAAATAAATTTTGTTATCTATTACTTTGATCATTATGTCTAAAAAGCTTATACAACGATTATCCTCCTTTTCCAATGTAAATTGTAGTCTATCGTTATAATTGTTGAATTCGTTCAAAACATATGTAATATTGTCAGCGGAAGTGCATAAAATAATGTCGTCTACATAACGGAAATAGAAAGTCATTTCGCAATTTAAATTACTAATTACTAATGTTTCCAAGTCCTGCATGACTATATCGGCAATGATCGGAGAAAGTGGGGAACCCATAGGAGTCCCATAAATTTGTTTGTAAGTTATGTTATTAAAAGTGAAAAATGTAGAAGTTAATATAAATTTTATCATACCTATGAATTCATTTTTGGGAATCTTTGTGTGTGACTCTATAAAATGCCATCTAT